TAGTATGTTCAGCCTGGAAAGCCTATTCTCTGCCTACAATGTAAGCTGCCTCCCCAAGTTTGTCCCCTAGTGCTAGAAGCAGCTTTTTCTGGCAATTTGTAGAAGGACATTTTGCAGAAGGCATCAGAGGATGCTATTCTAATGGAGGAGGACCCAGCTCAAGACCTGAAGTATTTGAACATCATGCATGGCCAACAGAACAGCAAAGTGCTCAACCCCTAGCCCCCAGCAAGGTATCATGCAGGCAGTCACAGTTGAATGCAGGCAAGAGGGCATAAGGAGTGAGTGGATGAATGAATGAACAAGAACACAAGTATCGACAGCACTTGAACGACAATGAATGGAGCTCATAGGACTCAGCAAATAAGACTCAGTCCTTTAAAGATTATCTTTAAGCAGGGAAAGACTTAACATTTTTAACAACAATGTCAGTTGAATTAAAAGTATGAAATTTAATGAGACATGTGGGATGCAGGAGCCCCACAAAGGTTAAACAAAGGAAAATGCCACAGGTCAGGCAAACACCTACCATGGCTTCCCAGAGTAGCAAAGTCCCCACCTCTCCAGTAAGGATGTGTCAGTAACTAACATCAGAAGGACATGTGTGTACTCTTGTGCATTATTACTAATTAGATGTACACATATTCTTGGGGATGTCTAACTATCTGGATTTGGTTCTCAAATAATCTTTCTGTGGTTATTGTAAACTCTTGAGTCCATAGACTTCCTTTGGTATTAGTGAAGAGGTGGAGCTGAGACAAGTGGCTGCAACATGTATAGGCTCAGGGCACACAGAAAAAGCACTATCCTCAAAAAGAGGGGCTGAGACAGCACAGCAGCTTATGCCTGCAATCCCAGCACTTTGGGAGGCTGAAGGAGGAGGACAGGAGTTCCAGATCAGCCTGGGAAACTTAGTGAGACACTGTCTCTACAAAATAAAGAGAAAAGAAAAGAAGGCCTAAAAAGGGCTGCTTCAGGTGTGTGAATATCACATTTTACACAGAGATGAAATAATATCTGTGGTAGTCAGCATCCAAAATGACTTGCTCCCCAGATGATCCTCACCCTCTAGTATTCACATTATTGTGCATTAAACTATTAAATCAGGACTAACCTCCAGAAATGATGGTTGGTGTTTCCCAAGGCAAGGTCACAAAAGGCATTGCAGTTTCCACCAAGGACTTTGGGGTCATACACTCCGGTGAAGACAGTCAAGCTGCTCTGCCAAGTCCATGTGGCCAGGAATTGAGCTCTCTTGCCAATGTCAGTACCAAATTTCCAGCATAGAGTTCCAGCCACAGTTGAGCCTTCAGATGACAGCAGTGCCAGTTGATCTCTCAACAGAAACCTTATAAAAGGTCTGAGCCAGACAGAATCACTTGGCCAAGCCACTTCTGAATTGCTGGCCTTCTCAGAAACTGAGATACTTATCATTGCTCAGCAACTAAGTCTTGGGGAAATTTTGTTAAACAGGAAACTAATACGAGATCTATTTTAACTATTTAGAGGGTGACTACTAATTCTTAGATGCTGAAAGTGGCAAACAAATGACGTCTGTGTGAGCAGATGTCCTTAAAATCATTTATTTAAACCCAAGAAGTTGAAGCCCTTAAAATATGCACTTTGAGCATAGTTCTTAATCCTTGACAGTTTGAAAAAAACTTTTAATTTTTTTTTAACTTCCATATATTCCTTACCCCAATCCTTCTCAGAAAATACAGGAGACATTTTTTTTAAAACAAAATGAAATATACATATACACATATACACAAACATTTTAACAGTAATGAATGAGAACTCTGAGAATTTTGGATTTACATAGGCCTACAAAAATTGGCTGAATTTCAATGCATGAAAAGGTCACTTAGAGGAGAAAGGACTGCACCCCAGCTAGAACATCTTTGACTGAAGCCAAATGGCTGTTAATAGCATATCTGGAAGGAACATGTTCAGGAGACAAACTGGAGTAGTGGTCTCTGAAGACAAGTTGCCCACATCTGTGAGGAGGAGCCAGCTGAGAACCCACCTTAGCCCAGCTCACTCCTAACACCTACTGGGCTTAAAATGAGACCACAGGTGGAGACTCACATACCACATGCCAAGATTTTTCAGTTATTTCATGTCCACCTGAGAATGCTAAGTCTAAATTCCTACCTATTTGAGCTACTTGAGCTACAGGAGCTGAGCCACAAATCCCTCATATTTTGACTCAAGATTTTTAGGAACTTTCAAAACTATACCTTTTCAACAATGAGAAAGGAGGACCACACTTATTTAGGGAACACACTCCAGCCTGGACACCCTCTTTGGGTGATGTAGGACAATCAACTTTAAACAAAAGCAGAAAAACAAAAATGTTCTCTGGATCCTGAAAGCAAGCGGATGATTGTCTCCTCTCTTCAGGGCATCCTCTGACGTGGAAGGGTCCAGTTTGGCTTAAGCAACCTTTTCCCATAATTCCTTTTTGCTGAATTTTCAACCAAACTTCCAAAAAATGTTTTTCATAAGACTGAAAATAAGTTTTAAAGGTAGTCTTTTGGTTTGGGTGTGGGACGCTACAAGGTCTAAGGGCAATTGTGACTCCAGGCATCACATCTGCTGTCCCTAGAAGAGGCTCTTGGTCAAGACCAGCTGTGAATTCATAAATTTCCCCCCAGATGGAGTCCAGTCTAGGGGACAAAAACACCTGAAAGTTGACCACTAAGCTCTCCTTTAAACAGAGAGTCCATCCTTCATGTTCTTTAACATTCCTTACTGGTAGCTAGTCCTGGGGTAAGAATGTTAACTCCTCTGTAAGTGATCATGTTGGAGCATTTCCACCCATGTGAGTCTGGGCTGCCGGGGTTGGGGAAAAAGGCACTAAAATACAAGGGTCTAGGAAGTCAAACTTTGCCAACTTCACAATAGGAGAATGGGTGCCTCAGTCTCCCTCTCTGCCCACTTCATCTTCCCAAAGGATGGGATAGGTATTAAGTTGAGGAGAAAGACTAAACTTCCCCTCTCCTTAGCTTCTTGCTCTTAGGCAGTAATTGTACCTCTTGATGTCCCAGTATCTCAGGGATTCCATGGAGGGGTTGGCAAGCCAGAGCCACTGGACAGAATCCTACACACCTGCTTCCATTTACAAAATTTTCTATAAGCAAAGTTTTTATGAATAAAGTTTGACTGGAACACAGCCATGCCTATGTGTGAACACAGCCATGCCTATGTGTTTACACATTGTCTGTGGTTGCTCTTGTGCCATAACAGCAGAATTGTGTATTTATAATAGACACTGGGTGGTCAGCAAAGCCTGACATATTTACTATGTGACCCTTTCTAGAAATCTTGCTGAGCTTTGCCCTAAGTGGTAATGATGACGACGATGGTAGCTAACACTCCTGGGTGACACCACATGCATGGTACTGTTCTAGGTGCTTTTGGTGTGTCATATCTCATTTATCCCTCACACTGAGCTCTGAAGTTATCTGATGAAATTGTACCAACTTAATAAATATGGAGACAGATACAGAGAAAGGTTAAGGGAACTTCTCCAAAATCACCAACACAAGTTGGGCTGGGATTCTGCCTAGGGTATCTGAGTTTAAGAACTGTGCTCTTAATAGCTATACTAGACTGCCTGAAAATTCCATCAGGCCTGCATTTCCATTAGCATTGACTTTATGCTCTCCAAGTTGCCACCAGGCTGGGCACCTGTATCACAGTGGTTAGAGCACTGGCCCTGTGCACTGAGGGTGGTGGGTTCAAACCTGGGCAGGGCCTGCTAAAAAAAAAAGCAGATGCCTAATTCAACCTCCAAGTACTTCCATAAATTACTGGAAAGATATCTTACTATAATTAATGAACTGGCATCCTGGAATTCAATAGCATTAGAATCAGGCTACCCTGGGAGCCTGAACATCTTTGAACACCAACAAAATTGAGTTTCTGGCCTTCATTTGAAAATATCCCAGTAGCTTCACTTACGCAATGGTGATTGCCCTAAATGAGGTCTTTCCTGAGACATCGACCTGGCCCTTCAGGGTGAACTGACTTCTTCTCCCTGAAGCTCTTCAAACCCCAGTCCTGGGAATGCCTCACTTCCCAGAATTCCCACTAAGCTTGGACTTAGCACAAGACAGGCATGGAAAGGTATACCCTTTCCAGAACTGGACTCAACTGGATGCCAACAATAACCTCCAGCATACTAAATTCCTCCACTGAGGGAAGAAATGACAATTAATTACTTGATCTCCTTGGATTTGATAAAACATGAATACTTCTATTCCAAAACTATTTTCTTCAGAATTTCAGCCCACCACCCACTGATAGTCACTTTCAAAGCACTGGTCAGTATCAGTGTCCAGCAAGAGGAGAGCTTCTGAAACAAAGCCGTTCAATGGGGACATTTGGGAAGGCTTCGTGCATCTTGACCAAAAAGTTTTGCTAGCTTCCTTTAGCTGTTAGCCTGAAGCCCAGGGTTTGGCTCAACTTAAAAAGACCAAAATAATCTAGTGCAAATGTCTTCATGATAAAATGATTTAGATGCCTAATAGTGAGACTGCAGGGTCAAATAGGAGGTCTAATTTGAGTTATTTGAGGATTCTCCATACTTCTTTCCCAAGAAGCTATATTAATTTGCAGTCCCACCAACAGTATAAAAGTGTTCCTGCATCTCCACATGCCAGCATCTGCAACTTTGGGAATTTGTGATGTGGGCTAATCTTACTGAGGTTAGGTGATATCTCAGGGTTGTTTTGATTTGCATTTCTCTGATGATTAGGGATGAGGAGCATTTTTTCATGTTTGTTAGCCATTCATCTGGCTTCTTCAGAGAAGGTTCTGTTCTTGTCTCTTGTCCTGTGATAAATGGGTTTGTTTGATCTTTTTTTATAATTTATTTGAGTTCTCTATAGATCCTAGTTATCAAGCCTTTGTCAGTTTAAAACATGCAAGTATTTTTTCCCATTCTGAAGGTTGTCTGTTTGTTTTAATTGTTATGTCCTTTGCTGTGCAGAGACTTTTTAGTTTCAATAAGTCTCATTTGTTTATTTTTGTTGTTGTTGCAATTGCCACTGAAATCTTCTTCATAAAATCTTTCCCCAGGCCAACATCCTCTGGAGTATTTTCCACACTTTGTTGTAGGATTGTTATCATTTCATGTCTTAGATTTAAATCTTTTATCTTCATAGTCTTGGCTAAAAGTGGAACAGACAGTGCCAGGGTGAAAATCACTTTGCAAATGTTAAGGCCAACAGAAATGTCTAGATGGAAGCCTATTTTAATTACCACTAATCTGCTGGGGTATTTTAATCACACTGCAAGTGTCAAGGCCAACATAAATGTCTAGATGGAAGCCTATTTTTAATTACAACTAATTTGCTGGAGTATTTTAATCTTAAAATTAATCCTCAGAAATACCTAGAAAAGATGTTTAAAGGTCTCTAACTAAATCCGTTGGTTTACAAATAAGAAGTATAAAATTCAGTAATGATAAGTGATATGTGGCTAAGATCACACCATAATCCTTAATGTAGCTAGAGAAACCCAGTCTGGTTATCTAAATGGAGAAAGAATATATGTGCATTTGGTGAAACAAATTCAATGAAAAGACACACCATTCCCATCCCAGAAATGCTCCTCCCCAGAGACAACCACCCTTACCCTTCTTTCACATGTCCTTTCAGGAATAGTTAAGACTGATCCAGCATCAGTTTAGATGGACATAAGTATCTCTTCCACAAATTAGCCAGCACATATGATCACCCTGGTTCTAGCCCCAGATCATCTTCACTCATAAAACTTGACATAGACACAGCCAGCCCTACTTAGTTTGGTCAGAATCTCACTGGGACCACACCCATCCTGTGCATTCATCCATCACCAAGTCTTTGACTCTCCACTTCACTCCCGTCTACAGGACGCAGTATCCAAGTGACAGTCCACGTGCTGCACACCAAAAATGGGACTAAATGGCTTAAACAACAAAATCCTGAATCCCAGCAGTCATGAAGGGTGTTTAGTGATTTACCAGCAAGGGTGTGCCCTGGCGTTTGTTAGTTCATTAAACTGGGGAAATCCTTTTTTTGCTTCAAGAGTAATTTCTCCTGCCAAGAAGAGTTGAAAACATCCTCCCTCAACTGCAGCAAGCCGAAAGAAGCAAAACTCAGAGTCTCAAAATATTGGGCAGGCACAGCCTGCAGCAACCCCCGGATGACCTTACCACATTAACAGAACAGCAGCCAGAGTTCTGCAGAGCTGGACAAAACTCTCTCCTCTGGCTCAGTGCCTATAGCACAGTGTATGGCGCCAGCCACATACACTGAGGCTGGCGGGTTAGAACCCAGACCCAGCCAGCTAAACTACAATGACAACTACAACCAAAAAAATAGCCAGGTGTTGTGGCAGGCAACTGTAGTTTCGGCTACTTGGGAGGCTCAGGCAAGAGAATCACTTAAGCCCCAGAGTTTGAGGTTGCTGTGAGCTGTGACACCACAGCGCTTTACTGAGAGCAACATAGTGAGCTCTGTCTCAAACAAACAAAACAAAAAAA